TTTTAAAAATTAATTTGCACAAGTATTTTATCATTATGGGCTGCAGTACTTTGTGTTCAAAGAGTCTAAAGTAATCTGCATTGCAAGGCAGGGTCCCAGTGAGGTCAGGACTTGGGGAGGGGGTTGCTTCCTCAGATTCACTCTCCTTTCCTCTCCAGTTAGGAAAAAGTTACTGTCGTTCTGCCTGGTGAGGTGATCTGTGGCCTTGGTGAAGAATTACTGCAGGAATGAGAAGTGTTACTAGTGAAGATTTGAGGCATGAGTGAATACAATCAACACAGAACCACTGATCTAAAAGATGACGTTGATAACTTTCCTGGTGGTAACAAAACAGCCATGTGACCACACAAAAGAATCAGAGTGTTTACAAGAGGAACCGAATGTCTTTTGGGAGCTAAGATTATGCTATCATCTTGATCTGCAATTTCCCCAAGAAGAGGAGTCAATGCACCTTCTTCATATTAACAGCATTTGTCATGATACTGTGCGCATCACAAATACGTATTTACTGTCTCTAAAACATCAGTTACCAGGCCGGGTGTGGTGGCTCATGTCTGTAATCCTAGCACTTTGGGAAGGCGTGGCAGGAGAATCACTCAATCCCAAAGGTTCAAGGCCAGCCTGGGCAACATGGCAAGATCCAGTCTTGGCAACCAAACGAAACAAAACAAAATCGGTTACCTGCATTTTGAAGGCGCTTCAGAATTGTTCATGTCCCCTCTTGGTCTCCCTGACTTCTTCCCTGACCTTCTACAACTTGCACTCACTCAGAAATGCTTTGTACATTTGCTGATACATCAATGTGACTGGCTTTTTCTTTCCCCTCCAGCTAGGAAAAAAAATGATAGGTGTATTTAGGTTGAGTATTGTTTATCCGAAATGCTTGGAACCCAAGTGTTTCAGATTTCATGATTTTGGATTTTGGAATATTTGCATAATGAACATACCATTTGAGCCTCCCAAATCTAAAAATCCAAAACCCAAAACGCTCCAATAAGCATTTCTTTTGAGCATCATGTCGGCATTCAAAAACATTTCAGATTTTGGAGCATTTGTTATTTCATACTTTGGGATTTGAGATGCTTAATACTGTCTTCCAGTTATTATTATCATACACAAGTGAATGCGGCTCTCAAAAGTCTGTCATACGTATTGACTAAGAAGGCTCAAGCCAATGGCCTTCACGCCTGGAATTTCAGCACAGGTTATTTCTACATTAAGGAGAAGAACTCACATTTCCAGGACTTTTTTTTTTTTTTAACTCTTGCCTCCTTCTACAATTTGAAGAATACAAGGAGAGTTTTCTTTGCTTCCCTTCTCTTGTCTTCTCTTCTTTCTTTTCTTTTTTCTTTTTTTTTTTTTTTTACAAGGAAGTGTGTGGTCTGTAAGTTGCACTCTTTTAATGACAGCTGAGCCTCCAGGAGCCCTTGGATGCATCCCACGTGACTTAGAGGAGGAAATGCGTGGTGGTCTCCAGAGCAGCCATGCCTGTGAGGCCGGCAGATGGGGGAGGATCACCTTAGAGGGAGCAGCTCTGCTGTGGGCATGGCCACAACTAGGGGAAATGTCAGCAGAGAAGATGAGGTGAGGACTCGGTGGAGAACAGCTTGGGTCACCAAGAACGCTGTTGCGTGGATGGCAGGAGGGCTGTGGTTAAAGACTACCTAGATGTAATCCCTCAATTTTCATGGGAACTGCAGCCGAGCCATTTCCTCCAGTGCCTCCGAACGCGGCCCACACCGGCACTTTGAAGCTTGTCCTCACTAGGCAGGCGGAAGTGGTCCTGAGAAAGAGGGTGATGAGCTCAACTAGGAAACTGCCTCCTAAATTCTCAGAGTCCACTCCTCTCTTCCACACAGGTGTCTCTGAATAGATGATTTTTTTGACATTTGACAAAATTGATGGCAGAGAGACAGTAGCTGAGGGCTGAATGGTGCAGTGTTTCTCTGCACCCAAAATGTCATAGTATATGAGTCCTGAAATGTGTGGGCATCTCATCCTCAGGGAAAGGTTCTACGTCAGCTGCACCTTTGCCTTTTACAGCACGACTTTCTACCCCAGCCCCTGCAAGTTAGCAAGCCGCCTGGAAACTAACCCTGACACAGCGCCATTTCAGACAATGGCTTTCAATTCTTTAATAATGCTAATACTAACAGCTCTGAGGAGGCTCTATTCCTCACCCAGTTCTGCATGCCGAGTTCACTCAGTTTGTCTGGCTCTGTGACTGCCGGTCATGGTATTTTCTTGCTAGGAGTTTCTGTTTCTGTTATAGACTATGTTTGCCTGAGGTTTGCTTCTCTTGGCAGCTCTTCCACAGTGGAATGTTCTTTTTGAAATCGATGACTTTCAAGGTAGTCATTAAGTGCTAGAGACCCCTGTAAGCTCCTTCAAAACACCAAATTTGGACTCTCCCCAGCTCCTGACCTGGCTGTCAAGGGTGTGAGCTGACAGTTTAGATGATTAAGCCAATTGACAGCATGCCAGGAAATGCCATAATTTAGAAATTCATTTCAATGCCCGCTCCCAGTTCTATGAGGAAGGCCATGTGTGGTTTGCCAGAAATACTATTGAGAGACACTAAATAACTAACATTGATGAGTCTCTATTAAAATAAGATAACTTGCTATACATTCCTTAACATATCTATGTTTACACTGGAAAAGCAAAACCATTTGACATTAGTAAGATTTTAATTTTTACCCTTTGAGCAAAGCAAGTTATGTAACTAACCTAAAAGGAATGCAAAGACAATTTGCAAACATAAAATTGCTTTAAGGAATCAATGTAGAGAGTGATGCTATTAAGATTATCATCAGAATTCAATTAAAATGTCACTAGTTTTCAGTTATGAAGAAGGAACACATCCGGAAGTGCTGTGCTTGCCAACTGTTTAATATTAATTAGTGAAAGCAGTTTCCTGATTTAGCCCAGAGAGTTAGTAAAGCATTTCATTTCGAATACATTTTTACTGAAAGCAAGTTTTAAAGCTCCCTGGAGCTGTGTTCAGCAAGCCTTGGGAATCTGAACTTTTTCAAATATGAAAGTTTGAACCTTTTTATTCCGTTGTGTGCAAAAAGTTTTCTTTTCTTTGTCTTCCTGTTGAAATCGTTACTTTCACCCATATATGGCTCCAAAAATATAAACCATCTTACAGCGGCTGTTGAAATTATTCACTCTTGGCCTAGAGCTAATTGTGGCTTTTCACTCCTAACAAAATCTTACGAGAAAGTTGTAAGTGAAATAGGGTCAAAACGCACATACAGAAGCTGTGTAGCATTCTCAGAAAAACCACACATGGAGCTTTTTTTTTTTTTTAATATCTGTTTATCAAAAAGCTGCCCATAGTGATTCAGAGTCACATTTTTCATCTGTGTGGATGTGCTGGAGAACTTTGACCACGCTTGCTGATTTCAAAGCAAGGCAATATCTTTTCGATGACATCAGCTTCCACTCCCTGTACCGGGAACTCACCGTTCTCTGAACTGAAAGTTTGGAGCTGGTGCCAAAGGTTGTCTCACCTGTGAGTGCATTTCCTGTAAGGCCCGTTCACCCTGGCGTGGGCCTGGCAGGTTCTGTTAGTGACACACACCTCTCCAGTTCTCACAAGCAACAGCCCCAAGACTCACTTTGCAATCATCTCCAGACTATGACCAAGGCCATGGAGAACCGCCGCACCTGGAAAGAAGCCTGCCCTTGCTCCTGGGCTGTCCTGTCACCGGCAGGGAGAGTCGCTCTGTTTTCCCCCTCAGAATCACTGCGTGATTAATACAAAGCACGCTGACCCTTGTGGGGCAGAAGTGAACCTTGTAGGTTAACACGTGTGTGTGCCACAGTCAGAAGGTGCCGTGCTGGCCCCTCTTCATGATATGGTTCGAGGACACAAACCCATGAGATTCAGGGTCACAGGGGACCCCTGCAGGGAAATGACAAAACGCCTCTTTGTGCAGCTCAGGAAGCTGACATAGTGTGAAAACGAAGACATGGAAATAAACGACGTTGTTTTTTCTGTCCTGTAACAGGAGAGTAGGTGCCTGCAAGGCAGCACACTTCAGAAAGGGTGAACGATAGCGGATGAAAATCAGCTTCAGCTCCAGGCATGAATCCCCTACATGTACACTGTGCTTATGCTGTATGGACAGACTTCTTTAGTGAGTATAAGGAAAAATTCTCTCCTGGGATTCAAAGGACCAGCCTATTCAGAAAACAGAGGAGTAGATAAAGAATTACACACAGACACACACATACAAACACAAACCATACACACACGCAGATATGCAAGCAGTCACACGGAGAGACACCTACAGAGAGACTCACAGACACACATGTACACACAGGCACACATATAAGCACACACAGACCATACACACATACACACACACAGATACACAGGCACACAGAGAGACACATTCAGAGAGACTCACAGACACATGTGTACAGACACACATACAAGCACACACAGACCACACACACATACACACACGCAGATATGCAGGCAGACACACAGAAAGACACATTCAGAGAGGCTCACAGGCATACATGTGTACACACAGACACACATACAAACCACACAGACCATACACACACACAGATATGCAGGCAGGCACAGAGAAACACATACAGACACACGTGTACACACAAACACACATACACACACAGACCATACGTACACACACAGATATATAGGCAGACACACAAAGAGACACATACAGAGAGACTCAGACATGTGTACATACAGACACACAGATACATGCATACATGCACACAGATACACAGACATACACATATGTACATGTACATGCATGCAGATACACATACACACACAGGTAAACACATGGAGAGACACACAGACACACACGTCCACACAGACACTGGAATGTTTAAGTGCGTACAGACACTGTAGAATGAGCTTAACACTTCCTCTCTTCCTCCAATAATTCACATTTCTAAGTGACTCTGATTTTCTTTAGCTTTAAACGAAAAGCAAAATGCTTTCTATAATACCTCTTTGTTTGAAAGTATATTTTTAAAAAGATTCTGAATGGGAGATATGTTTTTCAAGTTCTCTCATCTTTTATTTTTCCTCTGGTGATATCCTCACTGAGTCCATTTGGACAAAGACCGTGGACAAGCCATTGGCTGCGGCACCCGGTGTGGAGCCTGCCCTTTCAGAGCAGGTCAGAGCCAAAATAGACAGCAAAGGAGAACTAAATCCAGGTTGAACAATGCTGGCCCCAAAATAGCAACAGGGTTTAGGTGCACAGCAGCAGGAAGGCTGCTAATCATTTGCCAGGATCTTTCATTTGGGTTTGTCACTACTGAGTGACACTGGGGACTTGAGGCCCCTGTCAAGCACAGAAGTCCAGAATCCCAAATTTGCGACTCTAACAACAATCCCTGGTGCAGAACTGTCCTTCCATAGAGAACGAAGGAGCCAGTGCCTCCCGTGCTCTCCAGGAGCTGGTGGGAGGGTTTCCTGAGCTTCTGCTCTGCAGGGACAACCAGCAGGGTCTGGCATGAATTCTCCATTCACCCTGGCAGCTCCCGTTGGTAGCCTTCAGTGCTCCCATGCTCCAGGGAGGAAACTGAGGCCCAGAGAGGAAGATAGCCCAAGGCCACACAGCTGGAAAGCTCTTCCCATCACACCACGGATCTCGAGTGTTCTGTGCAGCAGGGCAGCAGTCACTTTAGACACTCTTAACTGCCCAAAGCGTAGATTTCAGTGTGACTCTCTAACAGCACAGCCACAGGGTGCAAGAGGCATGAGAAGGGACAGAGACGCCTCCCCTTAGGGGCGGCTGCACAGAGGTGCTCTCCCAGGCGGCCTGAGCTCTATGGAAGGAGGACCCTTGTCAGCAAAGGCAACCAGCAGGATGGTTTACATGAAAAACAAGCCAGAAGGAGAGAAGCGGGCTTACAGCTTTTGACCATGCTGCAGGCTGGGACGCAGGCTGATATGGCTGGAGCTCTGGGGTGTTACGGGTAAGCCTGGATGGGGCTGGAGGTTTGGCAATTCACAACCCAGATTCCAAACCAAGGGATGCCAAGGGATGCCGCCTGGAGGGATGTTGAGATCTTAAAATGGGAAGTGAAAGCAGTGTGCAGGCAACCATCAATCTATGGCAGGAGGATTATTCTCCTGAAACCAGGGCAGACTGGCAAAGAGATGGCCTGGAAGGGAGGGCCAGCTGGAGGCAACTGCAGGACTCAGTTATTGGTCTGATTTGAACGGAAGCGGGAAATGGCCAGCCCTATTTGATACCTAGCCCACCAACTCTTGATGAAGCAAAGCAATTCAAGAGTGGACTGCATGTCACAGGACCCAGAGACATACCCTAACTGGTTCCACATGTAGGGAAGGATCGAGTCATTCTGAACTGATGGAAACTCCGACGTCGGCCTGGGTACTGTGCGGCACCCTCACACTGGGGCTGACCCAAGCCGTGGATAAGCAGATGCCGGCTCACTCCTGGAGGGTGGCGCTTTCCGCCATGGCTGCAGCTCTGTCTTTGGGAACATCAGCTTTAGCAGCAAACAGGGCATTCGGGAAGTTTTCAGCGGCCACGCAGCAGCATTATCTTAAACAGGTGTATGTAACTGAGTTTAAAGTAAAGCAGGGTCACTGCATGGGAGTGCTGGAACTCCTCACAGGCCCTCAGGACCCTGATGGACGAGGCCGGTGGTGACGGCTTCGCTGATTCAGCTGTGGTCACAGTTTATAGAGGAGGCGACCCTGGGCTGCGACGACAGGAAGACAGGGCCATGCCCATCTTATTCATTCTCCATAACCAACGGCAAATATTTACTTAGCAATTATACAACGCCCATCACCAGATTAGACACTTATATAGAACTTAGAATTGTACTGAATGCAAATGAGATGTTAATTATTACAACTGAATGGTGCCTTTAGACTTAGACTCTAGATGCGTTTTTCAGATACACTTCAGGCAGAAACATGGCCATAATGAAAGTCATTATGAGGATTTTGAAAGAGAAATTGTTAGGATCCATATGCTTCCATATACACAACAGGATTTTAAAATGAGGGCAAAACCATGACTCGGTTTGGCTGTAAGATTCCTCTCCATGGCAGGAAATTTCCTTTCCTTCTGATAGGATGTTGATTCCTTCTGGCTCTAAAGGGGATGTGACAACCAGCTATTCGCCTGGTGGCTTCCTTCAGGACTTGGAAGATCCCTGAAAGGCCTCTCGTTCTACTGAGAATCTGACGCAAAGCACATGAACCTTACACACAGCCTGGGATGGTGTTTCAGAGGTGGTGAGACCGGAGGCCGTACGCCTTCCTCCCAAGCCCTCCCTCCAGGTGTGCCTGCAGAGAGCCCGCTGATGTCTTCCGGCCAGTGCCACCAGGTGCAGGGGCCAGAGTCTGCAGCTGCTGAGCTAGAGTTATTTGTAAAAAAATGGTAGCAACAAGACAATAGATAGACATCTTGTCCTGAAGGCAGCAGGGCAATGACTCATGCAGATGAATCATTTTAAATTAGTCCAGTGGGTCTCCGGGGAACCAAGTTCTAAATCCAGGAAACATCAGGCTCTGACCAAGCAAAGACTGCCAGCTCAATTTCATGATTCTAGAAAAAGAGTAAGAGACTCTCTCCCCGGAAGAAAGCATACAGAACGTGGTATTCAGTGGCCTAATTCTGTAGATGTGAAAACAGAAATCCAAGATCAAAACGTCACTTAGCAGAGCCAGACGAAACTACATGTCTTCGGATTCTCGGCTTGGAAGTTCTCTCTGTCATGCCATCGGGGCGCACTGCTCACTCTTTGGAAAACCACCACACACGGGTGTGAGAGCTTTGGGGTGACATGAGCAAATGACGAATTCCCCAGGGAAAACTGAGGCACTACTTTATGCGGCCAGGCAAGCATTACCCTTCCATTAGTGAAGCATTGGTTACAGCATAAATAACGAACAAGGCAACAGCCATAGCCACAACTGCTCACCAAAAGCTTTTTTTTTTTTTTTTTTTTTTTGGTATGAAAACTATGAGTGTATTTTCCCTAAGAACTTTCTGGCAACATGTACAAATAAAGCCACATCCACAGTGACAAGCTGTGCTGGTTAAGAGTTGAGCGATGACACTCTTGTTATTGAAACAGGAACTGACTCATCCTCAGCAGCTACAGATCATATATTTTATTCCGCTGTGTTGTCTCATTTGAAAAAAAAGTATCACATGGCAACACTGTTTGTTTTCTAAACAATACATTTTCTTCAGAGAAACATGTAAAATAGAGATAAAGCCTTTGAGGTTTTAATTAATGTTTTCTAGGAACCAGGAGATAATTTCTCAGTTAATATGTCAACATTTAAATAACATATGTTATTTAATGCAAAATATGTTTTCACAAATATAAGAAAATCAAATGAGTATTTTTCAATGAAAGTAAATATATGTTTTATGTTTTTGAAGGGCATGGATTCTAGTGTTTGAATCTGGTTGTAAAACCTTTTATAACACTGAATAGTAGCGTTACTGCTATTAAGTAAAAATAGACTTTTTTTAACACATCATAATGTACTTTTTAAGGATTTTATTAACTTCAGAAATGTTGTTCATTATGAACAGGGCTGAGCTGACGTTTGTCTTTGTCTATTAAGCCTTTACACCTACACAGTGTAAATCGATCATCTAAAAAAATGTATCTCAGGACAAAGTGCTTAAAATACTTACATTTTCCTGTGTGCACCCAAGGTGATTGGGCTTTTGAATACTGAGAATATGTTTACAGTTCATAGACTACTCCAGAACAATGCCTCTGCTGCTGAAAAGTACTGAAAATAAATAGAAAAAGATTCTTTAAATTCTAGAATTAGATATTCACTAGTACACCCACCCAGACTAAAATGATTCAAATAGAAAGACTTTCCTGTCTCCGTCATTACACATGTGACATTTCTTGCAAATATGGGCTTCCCTAGTGAGATAAGTCTCTGCCTGACGTACCAATTTTTTATAAGGGGTCTCCCACTGCTGGAAACTATTGAAAGACCACGAAAGACCAGAGAACCAGGGAGCTGATGGCTGTGTGCTCCGAGCACAGGAGGCACAGAGGCCACGCCAAAGCTGACACTGGGTCAGAACCAGGGAGCTGATGGCTGTGTGCTCCGAGCACAGAAGGCACAGAGGCCACGCCAAAGCTGACACTGGGTCAGAACCAGGCCCAAACTCACAGCACGCCCTCCTTGCTCGCCTGCTTCTCTCTGTAAACACCAACTCCCTTTCTGTGGCTCAATTATCTGCAGTGTGCGCAGGCATTAGAAAGTCATGGGCTTTTTTTTCTGCCTTTTCCTCGTAAATCTCAGAATGAATAGTTTCGATCTGTAATTGTTGGTTTTATATTTTTAAATAGTGAACTAAGAAACATAATGTCTCATTATCTTTGAAATGATTCGAGCATTTGCTGCGTGCAACTCTGTCGATAACAGCACAATGCAGTCATTTTACTTTGTCTGGGGGGAGGGGAGACGCGTCAAGAAAGTTCCTTTTTTTCCTCTACTAACTCTGTATTGCTAGTTATCTGCTGTTTCCACACTCTGCATAGATCTAATTTAGGTACTTTTTAAAAAAAAGATACTCCAGACACTATCCTGGATTGGCAGTTTAGAAAACACATGTGTCTTCAAGCCTTCACTGCAGATCTGAAGCAAATTATTTCTGTAAACGTGTGAAAATTTGACTTTCCTAAAAAATGGCTTGTGGTACATATGTGCTCAAATCTATTCAGGAAAACCACAACGCCTGACATTTCTTCTCCATTACTTTGCTTGAGACACGAAGAGTCTTTTATAATTTTAGTTTTTTGAAATGACAGTTTCCGTCAATTTGCTTTTTAGAGTACCATGTTTTCTGGTGCTCTGTCATGTAAGATTTTACCTGGAAGCATTGAGAAAGCAGCTATCTGCCCTGCCATCTGGTGAGCGCTTCTGACTCCTGAGAGTGACGGGGTTTCTCACCACAGAAGCTGGAGTCACTGCAGAGTGTGCTCATTTCACACCGGGCCAGTCACACCTTCACATTTTCACGCTACTATGACAACATGCTGCTTTAAAGCACCTTCTTTTTTTTCTTGGTCAGGCAGTTCTGGGATTTAACTCCTAAGCACACACTGCATTTGAACAAGATAACCTTTTAAAATAGTGTTATAAATAGCACATCACCATGCGGATTTTCTTTCAATTGCATGGTATCTGAGGACAGGGAATTCTAGCCAAATGTTGACTGTCTACTCAGTCCCTAAAGATACTCATTAAAACACACAAAACACCTGGCATGTTTTTATTAATCTGTTAATCGCAACAATATTTATTTGAAAATAAGTCTAAAGCTATTAAGTTGGCACAAAAGTATTTGAGGTTTTTGCATTAAAAGTAATGGCAAAAACTGCAGTTACTTTGCACCAACCTGATAACTCATTCAGGCTGTAATTTGCCTTAAGCCAGCTGACAGCTCCAACATCTCATGAACCAGTGGGCCACAGTAGCCAGGAGGCCCTCCTGGGTGTGAACGAGTGTGCTTGCGTGTCTGTGTGTGACTGTGTCTCCGTGTGCTTGTGTCTGTGTGTATGAATGTGTGTCTGTGTCTGTGTATGTGTGTGAACATGTGTATGTGTGCCTCTGTGTGTATGTATGTGTCGGCGTGTGTGTGTTGTGTCTATGTGTGTGAACATGTGTATGTGTGCCTCTGTGTGTGTCAGTGTGTGTATATGTCTGAGTGTGCATCTGTGTATTTGTGTGTGTTGTGTCTGCTGTGGGTCTGTGTGAGTGTGCCTTCACTCCCAACCAAGACATTTTCTAGGGGAGAAGGGAAGCCGAGCACAGAAGCTGTGAAGACGGTCTATGTTAGAGGCCAAGTGGGAGGAACAGGTGCTGAGTCAGAAGGAGGGGTCGAGCAGAGCTTCCGAGACACAATCCTGCTACCATCCCCTACCCAAGACCAAGAAGTCACCGCTGCTGACAGAGACATTTTGGTAGATCCCTGGGGCTTGAGGGCTTCTCAAGGACAATATGTGACCCAGTGGATGGATAACCAAGCAGAGATGGAAATGCAGGAAACAGGGCCAAACCAACTGCCCATCATCCAAGTGTTCACCCTGGCTCTTCACTCTCATAGCACCCAAGGGAGGAAAATCCCACTGCTGTCAGTGGGTGACGTCACCACCCAGTTTCACATCTGTGGGACCTTCCAGAGGAGCAATTTGTCACCATGCTGAAAAAACAAACAGACAAACAAAACACAAAAATGAAAAACAAACAAAAACAGAGAAAGAGCAATTATATTTAGTAGAGCTTCTATTATGAGCCGACCATATATTATCTCACTTAATCCTAAACCAATCCCGTCAGGTCAGCCTGTCTTTAGAAGAAATTCAAGAGTTGGGAAACATGTCTGCAGTGAGGCAGCTGGTTAAATGACAAAGGTCAGCCTCAAACCCAGGCTGGCCTTCAAAAGCAGGACCTGTTTTGATGGCAATGAATGACATTGAATAATGACATCAGTTTAATGCCTGTTATGACAGGTGATGGATCGCAGGCCCCACAGGCTAGCTTCCAAGAACAGTAAATAGGGAATAGCAAAACATCCTCAAGCCCTTTGCTGCAAATTCTATTTCTGAGGCACGAGGGCTACATCTCTCATCTCAGGCCATCTTCCCTCCGGAGCCCTTCGAATATGTCAAGGAATCCTGGAGCTGGGAAAGAGATACACAATTTCCCATCAGCTTAAACTTTGCAACTCAAATGTTGCTTTGAGATTTGGACGTCAGGGTGTTCTGGGCTTTTGGGAGACTCACCGGACTCCCAACTGTGAGGGTTTCCTTGTTGTGTTCAGCCTCCCTTCTTGTGTCAAGAAGGGAGGATCACTGAGTGAATGGAGTGAATGGAAAAGACCCGGGCAGACACTGATAAAACCCACACGGAGGCTAGCTTGCGTTTGGTCCATGCCCCAGAGCTTTGGTGCCACAGAGACAAATCCTGGAGGACGTTCCAGGAGGAGGGACTGGCCTCTCTGGAATTTTCTTTCTAGGAGAGCTTCAAGCAGGATTTGCGGTATTCTAGGCTCTTTATCTCATCAACAAAACTGTAAAACAGGGATGTTGTAGTGGCCGTAGAATTGTAAAGTATACAAGGGCTGAAGGGGCTTTGAAGCTGCAGAAACTGCTCTGTGCAGTGGCTGTCCTGGTCTCCTCCATCGGAGTCAAGTACTCTACCACGGCGTTGGAATAGAAGGGCCTTCCCAGCCACGCACGAATGCTGTGTTTTAAAAAACTCCTTTCTTCCAAAAAGTTCTACGTAGGTCCTCATGACCTCCCTGCAGCTGATATTCGAGGTTACCTATAAACAAATGTTATCTAATAAAAACATTGCAATGTGTACATAAAGAAATACCTCAATGGATATCAAATCCCTAAATGTCTTTTAAAATTAAGACTAAAAAAGAAACTTGTTTATCACTTTGATAACGACATCGTGCACATGCTTCCTGGTAGATAACACTACACCTCACTTCCAGCCATCATCTCACTTTTTATTTTTTACTAAAAATGAATTCTGATTGACACATAATAATTGCACATACCTGTGGGGCACACAGAGATGTTTTCCTACATACAATGTAAAGTGAGCGTATCAGGATAATTCGCATACCCATCATCTCAACCTTTCTCATTTGTTTGTGTTGAGACTATTCAGCATCCTCCTCCTCTCTGAAACTATAGAATATATAGTTACACAGTTTCAAGTCATCCTTCTAGCTATTTGAAACTATGTAATATGTGCTTATATAGTTAACTGTATATGTAGAATTATTATATAGCAATAACTATATAGTATGTGATTAACTATAGTCATCTACTACAGAACACTAAAACTTACTTACCTAGCTGTAATTCTCATCTTTTAACGAAGCCCCCTTATCCTTCCCCTCCCAGTCCCTTCTCAGCTTCTAGCACCCTTTTTTCTTCTTACTTCAATGAAACCAACTTTTTTTTTTAGCTTCCACATATGAACGAGACTACGTGCTGTTTAATTTTCTGTTTCTGGCTTATTTCACTTAACATAATGTCCTCTAGTTCAATGCATGTTGCCATGAATGACAGGATTTAATTCCTATGGCTACGCATAATATTCCTTTGTGCACACGTCCATTTTCTGTACCCACTCACCTGTTGTCAGATACCTCGGTTGATTCCATCTCTTGCCTGTTACGAACATGGCTGCAATAAACATGGAAGATGCAGGTATCTCCTGGACATACTGGTTTTCTTTTCTTTACATAAATGCCCAGTAGAGAGATTACTAGGTCCTATTTCTATTTGTGTTTCTCAGGAACCTTCATACTGTTTTCCACAGCGGTTGTACTAGCTAACATTTCCATCAACAGTGTACAAGAGTTCCTTTTTCTCTGCACCCTAGCCAGAATTTGTGATTTTTGTCTTTTTGATAATAGCCATCCCAACTAGGGTGAGATGATACCTCACTGTGGTTTTGATTCACCTTTTCCTGATGATTAGTGATGGTGAGCATTTTTTCATATATTTCTTGTTCATATATGTGTCTTCCTTTGAGAAATGTCTGTTCAAGTCATTTGCTCATGTAACTGGATTGCTTATTCTTTTGCTGTTGAGTTCCTTGTATATGATGGATATTATGCCCCTGTCAGATGAATAGTTTGCAGTTATTTTCTCACTTTCTGTAGGTTGTCTTTTCACTGTGCTGTTTTCTTTGCTGTGTGGAAGCTTTGTGGTTTGATATAATTCCAGTTGTTTATTTTTGCTTTTGTTGTCTGTACTTTTGAGATTCATAAAAATCTTAAGATCATAAAAATTCATAAGATCTTTCCCTAGACCAATGTCTTGAAGCATTTCCCCTGTTTTCTTCTATTAGTTTTATAGTTTGGAGTCTTACATTTAGGTCTTTGATTCATTTTGAGCTGACTTTTGTACTGAGTGAGAGGTGGGGATCTAATTTCATTCTCCAACACCTCTTCATGATAAAAACTCTGAGTAAGTTAATTGGAGGAAAGCATCCCAACATAATAAAATCCATCTATGTCAGACCCACAGCTAATATCATACTGAACAGAAGGAGATAAAAGCTTTTCCTCTAAGAGCTGGGAAACGACAAGGATACCCACTCTCACCACCCTTATTGACCATGGTACTGGAAATCCTAGCCAGAGCAGCCAGGCAAGAGAAATTAATAAATCACATTCAAATTGGAAAGGAGAAAGTTAAATTGTTTCTGTTGCAGATGATATAATCTTACATAAAGATAAACCTAAAGATCTCACAAAAATAAAACTGTTAGAACTGACAAATTCAATAATGTTGCAGGATACAAAATTAATACACAAAAATCTGCAGCATTTCTATATAGAGACAATAGAGTAGCTGAAAAAAAAGTTAAAAAGGCAGTCTCATTTGCAATAGCTACCAAAACAATACCTATGAATAAATCTAACCAAGGAGGTAAAAGAGCTTGCCTTTTCATTTCGTCCTTTCTCTCTCTTACTCTTTCTCTCATATTCTCTTGCCTCTCTGTTTTTAAACGTCTCAGGCTTAGCAGACACTGTTGAAACCCAGTACACTACAATGGAAATAAAATAGACATCTATCTCTTTTGTATGCTAAGATAAAAGCATAACCATGAACACATGTTTAATTAGATTATTTTGGAGTTCTGGAACTTATGTATTAATGACATTCAGGGACTCTGGCTTAAGCTAAAGAATCAGGACTATAATCATGTCCCTATTCTCTCCAGATCCCACTGAAATAAAACGATAGTATTATGAGAATAACCATATGACAGGAATTGAATGGGGAGTCACTATCATACACAAGACTTCAATAAGGTTCTAGAAAACAGAAGGTGGGTGGCAGAGGGCTGCATAAGGTCAGCAGGCCAAGAAGCGTGCAGCTTGGGCACACAAAAAGTGAGGTTCAGAAGAGGTGGGCATCAGTCCATCCAGGACTCAGATTAGCACACAGACTGGAGCACAGCAGTTGGAAAGGACTGAAGACGGGGAAGAAACTGAAGTTCTATTTCTGGGGGAGCTATACCAGTCAAAACCTAACCCTCTTTCCCCTTGTCTACCCATCAGCCATGAAGCTTAGGCATTTATGATCCAGCAAAACACTCCTCCCAAAAACACTCTCCCCTAAAGAAACTGGAGAAAATGTTGGAGACAATATCTTTCATTGGTTAAATGTGCAGCCCACGGCCAGCTCCCTGCACACTTACTCTAAATGATTTGCCCTTTATGGGGTCCTGGATAGAATTCCTACCATGAAGAGATCAGTTGTCACAAAGCCTAGGAAACCATAGACAGCCAGGTATCACCAGCATAAAAGAACCAGAAATGAGGGAAACTAACCAGAAAAGTCAAGTGAAACACAAAACTAAATGTGAATCGCAGTGGAATTATCTTCAAAGGCCCAAGAGAAAGGTATACCAAGATTTCTACATTGAGTGAAATTATTAATCAAATGTATGAGAAGATTAAAGAAAGCTGAGAGAGTCAAAGACTCAGAAAGGTGACCTTCCACACATTCCTCAAGACATTACTACAGGATTTGCTCCAGAAAAACTAAGAAATGAATCTAGAAAGTATGAGAATGAAATCCAGAAAAAGTGGGGTGCCCAGAGTCAACCTTAACACATGAGCTAAGCAAGCTTGACTGGTTATTTGTAGTCTAGAGGTCTCTGTTCAACAGTCCAATAGATTCTCCTTCAACTTCTTCACATGCAATGAAATACAAAATATTTGACATTTCTGAATTGGCATACGATCTATCCCATGGATATGTATTTACTAAGGTCTACACCACACATACTGAGTTCCTAAGTGCAGAAATTTACAATGTGAAATTAAATCACCTGTGACTTACTAAGGATAGTAAGCATAAACAGTCAATGTTTATTTAAATTTTTATATGGGCACAAAAAATAGTGACAGTGAAGCAAAATCATTAATGGCTTAAAAAATTTGTATCCCAATTGAGAACAATTATACATTACTTTGAAGTTCCATCTTTAACCCACAGATAAATTCTGTATTCACACATACAGTTATTCAAGAATTCACTCACTCTAAGTATTTATTGAACAGCTGGGAGAGTCTAGATATTATACTAAACACTAGTTATAAAAATAATATGTACGCTCTTATGTTCAGGCTGTCAGAGAAGACACAGACATAAAGCAATAACTAAAGCCAGAACTGCAAGAAAAAGGTAGAGACACCATGGAAATATGAGTAGGGTTCATTTGCTTATTTAAATAATAGGGTATATTTACATATTTGCAGGTGTTTCATACCTGAAGACCATCTACCAGTTTCCCCTTCTTGTGAAATGCTCTTGGAAAATTTTTAGTAATTGCTGATATTTTGGAAGGCATTACTGGTAGCTCATTGATTTAGAGCATAGTCAACCAAAATAAGATTAAAAGTATTCAGGAGCAAATGTAACCACAACTTTCAATTTATAGGAGCAAAGTATAATCTTACTTGCAATTGTCAGCTTCAATTCTTTTACTCAGCTGTAATTTTTTTCATGTTCTCTATTTTTTTTTAACAAGTTACTACTTAATGATGGGTTTTGGATTCATATCAAATGTATCAATCACTAATCTTCGAAAATCTTCCCTTTTCTTTTTGCCTTCTTTTAAACTCTAGTAGTTCTGAATCTTAATTTCTAGAGGCTGTTTTATAGACTAATAGATAACATAGTACTTTTTTAAAACTCTGAAGGTGAGTGCTTGCTGACATTTGCAGAAGAAAAGAAGATGCTCAAGACTCAGTCACTATTTCCAATAACTGAGTCTAGGAGGGAAGATAAACATTCATGAACAGCTGTAATACAAGACAAGAGGCAAAAACTCAGAGAGCTAACCTCCCAAGCACCATTCTGCAGGAAGTTAAACAACTTTCATTTCTGACTCCAGCTATAAACTCTGTCTACCTCTGCACACCCCATAGTGGCAATGGGATGTGGAGACGGAAGTCAGTCCCTTCCCTTAGAAGCTCACAGACCGAGGAGAAAGGCATGGGGATCCACCAAGACTACAGGATTCACAGTGCCCAGGAGGCCAGTGGGGAATCCTCAGGATCCACAATGAGGACACCAGATAACTGCTGCAGAAAGTGAGAGAGGACAGTGAGGATGGTGTCGCTCTGGGCACTGGGAAAGCCGGAGGGACAGGTGTGCAGGATCTCAGCTAATGCAAGGGAGGACATACTCCTGGCTAACTCAGAATGGCACGGGGAAAGCAGCAGCATTCGGATAAGTGGCTGTCCCCATGGGGGTCCCACAGTACTTCCTAGTGCCAAGGGCAGCTGGCCAGAGAGCACAGTAAAGCAGTAAAGGGCCCTGTGCAGAACTTGCAGCCCATGGCAGCCTCTTTGGAGATGGGACGATAGCTCACCTCATCTCCCTGGTACCAGGTTCTAATGATAATCCTTGGAAGCAAGTCTGTCATCTTCTCTTTCAGTTCTGTTTGTGACTCTCACACATCAGTGGTCATGCCTCAGGTTCTGAGCTCAGAGCCCTGGGTTCAGATCCCAACCCGTTACTCTGTGCAAGGCTGCAGAGCTGCCCTGTGAGCTCCCGGACCTCCTCCGCCTCCACTGGCCACCTGACAGTCAGTGACCTCAGGCACGTAACTTCCTGTCCCCCACCTCCATTTCCAGATGTCATGGTGGCCCTCATCTCAGAGAGTTGCACTGTGGAGCACCCACTGAGAGTCACCTTTCCTTACCAAAGCTGGGTGACTGAGCAAGCAATCCTTCCTGTGCCTCAGTTTCCTCATTACTCACAATGGAGGTGGTGGGGACATCTTGAGGATTATATTAAAGAATCCAGGTCAAGTTACCAGGAAATGCTGTGGTCTTCACATGTTTCCACTGAGTCTGGCTTTATGATATCAGCTCCATATTTACTGTGGTTGTCCACAGCCATCTTACCTCCTGCCAGCCAGATCTTACAATATTTAATCCATTATTCTACTAATAAGCACAATTGAATGCACATTGATTTACATGGTTTTGCTGAGTGTGTCAGGACAAAGAAGTGTCCTCCCCAAAGAGGGGAGATAAATTCTGTATCACACATATAGTCATTCAAGAATTCATTCACTCAGTAAGCATTTATTGAATAGCCGGGAGAGTCTAGACATGATACTAAATACTAGTTATAAAAAAGGAATACGTATGCTCTTGTGTTCAGGCTGTCAGAGAAGACACAGACTCCCCAAAGAGGAAAGTTCCTCCCCAAAGAGGTCAAATCCCTGGAATCTACAAATGCGGCTTGATGCAGAAAACAGATGTTTGGAGACGTCATTAAATTCAGCATGTTGAGATGGCTTGTCCTGCATTATCCAAGTGGCCCTACATCCAGTGACAAGTGTTCTTATATGGGAAGTGAGAGATACGCTTGACCCCAATAGAAGGGGAGCTGGCATCGTGACCACAGAGGAGAGACTGCAGTGACACAGCCATAGAAGCTGAAAGGGGCCAGGGAACAGACGCTCCTCTGGAACCCCTGGAGAAAGCATGGGCCTGGCCATGTCTCAGTGCAGACTTCTGGTCCCCAGGCTCTTGAGAGAGCTCATTTCAGTTGTTTTAATCCACTGAGTGCGTGATGTTTGTTACAGCAATCACACGAGACTGATACACTCAGTTCGAGACTAATTTTCTACTATGACTCATTAGATGCCTTAAATCTGAATTGTATAGCTATAATTTGTTACAAAGACAGCGATTTGAAAGTTAACTCCAAAATAACCTGGCTTTACGTCTTCCTCTGCATCAACATAGGTTTCAACAAAGTGGTTCAGTCGAAATTATGAGGCCCTGAGCATGGTGAGCTAAAGTCAAGCCTGGAACCAAAGGAACCCCAGACAAATCCCGGCTCCTCTCTCCTCTCCCTCGAAGCTTCAGTCTCATCTGTACAGCAGGATGCTCATAGAAATGGCCTCCGTGGTGGTGCACTATTGGGAGGAAAAACTTACTGCCAAGTAAGGGCCTGCAGAGTGCCTGGAGAGCAGGTACAGGCAGCAGGCATAATTATTAGCCCATCTTCCAGGTTAGGAAACTGAGGCTTAGAGGTGCTGGATAACTCACCCAAGTCCCGTAGCTATTAGGCTTCAGAATTTGGAACCAGATCTCATTAACCAAGGCACACTGCAGCATGGCTTCCAATGTTCCCTGCTCTAGCATATTTCCCCCCAACTTTTTATCAAGAATATTTTCAAATATAAAGAGACATTTAAAGGATCGGTGAACACCCAAACACCCTGCACTGGGATTCAAAAATTACCATTTTACTATATTTGCTTTGTGGCATATAAATCCATCCACCCATGCATCAATCATGGATCCATCCTTCAAGCCATCTGCCCCCCCTCCTCCTTCTCCTCTTCTTCCTTCCCCCCTCCCCTCTCTCAATTTCTTGAAGTTTCAAAGCACACACATGCCTTAGCATGCTTCCCCACTGAACAGTGCAGCTTGCATGTTATTACTATGAGTTCAATTTGTCTATGGCTCTCTTCTTTTTGGTGGGGGAGAGGGAGAAAAAATTTGCAGAAAGTTAAATGCACAAGTCTTAAGCATACCAATCAATTTGGATAAATGCAATATTCTGTGTAACCCAAACCTCTATCCAGACATTAAACATGCCTGCCTGGTCAAGACAGTCCCCTTATGCCCTTTCAAGTCAATCTCCGCCCCTGCTCACCATGGCAACTGACATGCTGGTTTTCACTAAACATCAGTGGTGTCTGTTCTAAAACATAATCAGAATGAATCCTGCAGCGGGCATTCTTGAGTGAGAGGCTTCTTCACTCAGCCGAAGGTGTCCGAGACACATCATGTTGCTGCAGGTTCTTCTGCTGATGAGCAGCCTCTCATCACACCATTCCCCACATCTTCTGGTCATGGACTCCTGGACAGGCTCCAGTTTTTGACTATTATGGATAAACTGCTATGAACGAGGTTGACCAAATCTCTTCGTGGCCATATTCTTTTAATTCTTTTGGTTAAATGCCTGGAAAATGGAAGAGCTGAGTCAGAGGGTAGGTGAATGTGTCGTTTTATTAAAAATAGCCAGACTTTTTTCCAAAGAGCTAGTAGCATTTTACCCTCTCACCCAATAGTGAAGGGAAGTTCTGATGGTTCACAACATGTCCTTGTCAACGCCTGGTAATGTCTTCTTAATTTCAGCCATTCCAGTGGATTTTATTTCACATGTCCCTGAGGACAACCAATGTTGAAAACGGTTTTAAGTGCTTATGAGTCATTTGCATATCTTTTTTGTGACGTGTCTGTTCAAATGTTGTTTATTTTTAAGTTTTTCACAATATTTTTATCATTGACTTCTATATGTCATTTTTATATCTTGGATACTCGTTCAATACTAGATGGGTGTTTTTTTGAATATTTTCTCTCAATCTGCGACTTGTTTATTCATGCTCTTAATGTTGCCTTTTGATACAGTTTTAAATTTGATGCAATCTAATTAATCACTTTTTTTACATTTTTGCTTTTTGTTTCCCACCCAAGAACCTCCCCCCGCACACCCCCATCATAATCATTTTCTCCTTTTTTCCCTAAAAGTTTTGTAGTCCTACATAGTCTATCATCTGTCTTTACTTACTTGTATGTATAATATGAGGTAGGGCTGAGTTTCTCCCTCCCTCCCTCCCTCTGCCTGTCCTTCCTTCCTTCCCTTTCTTCCTCCCTCTTTCTCCCTTTCCTCTTTTCTTTTCTTCTTTCTTTTTTTTCTCTCTCTCCTTCCCTCCTGCCTGCCTGTATGCCTCCTTTTTTCCCAGGTGTCCCAGCATCATTTGTTGAAGACTTTCCTCTCCCCATTATATTTCTCTGGAACTCCACTTCTGTGTATGGGAAAAGCCATAAGAGAACCTTGTTTCCACCCCACTAACAAGCAAACCTCAGCTAGTCAACAAAATCCTATTTTTTTTTAGCCTTTAAAGAGCAAGGGCCACAGGTGCCCAAAACATCTGAAGGGAAATCATGCCACAGATTGTTTTGCCTTTGGAAAAGTAGAAGGAGGAGCTGCCACAGAAGAAATCAGCTTCCATTGCAACAATCTGTTAATGGGAAAGTGTGGGCTGGACCACAGTTTGGAATAAATGGGATCCCATTCTTACCTGCAAGCTTTTCTCCACAGGCTTCTACCAGGTACTGACAGGGAAGATCGGTGGGTAAGGCAGTAGGCCCCAGACCCCCACTACCTGCATCCGTGGACCCCTCCTCTAAGGAAGACAAAGCCTCTCAGTGCAGGGCAGCAGGATGCTCCCTTACACCCAGGTCCTGCATGCCAAGAAGCAAGGATCTTCTCTTCCTGGGAGAGGGGCAGGAAACTCCCTCCCACCTACCATCTCTCCTCTAACAGATACAGACAGTTTGGCTTGGTGAAGGAGAAGAGGGAGGGACACTGAGAAAACCCTAGCCCCAAAGCCCAAAGGCACAGGCCCATCCTGAGATGAAAACTGAAAACACACCCTATCCTCACCAGGAGCCCTTCTCCTCCCCCGCACACTTCCATCACAACAGGTGTGCAGCAATGGTCAAAGTGGGTGTGGAACAGGAGCACTGAGGGGCACCCAGGCAACCCCGTCTCTATGTTAAATGCAAGGTAGCAGCAGCCCACTGCTGGAGCGTTTTAACAAGTCTTACATGCATAGCAATGACAAAAACAAAACCTAGCTCATCTACTGACTGACCAGGCAGACTCGATCCCTAGACCGGGGATTGGTGAATCATAGTTAGCCAGCCACATCTGGCTGGTCACTTATTTTTGTAAATAAAGTTTTAATGATAGACAACCATGGCCACTCACTTACTTGTTGTCTATGGCTGGCTTAGGGGTACACTGGCAGAGTCAACAAGTTACAACAAAGACATTGTGGCTCACAAAGCCTAAGGTATTTACTTATGTGGCCTTTTACAGACAAAAGTTTGCCAGCCCCTACCCTATAATGACAGCTAGAGAGAAGGGAGGTGCCCATTTTTAGGAGGAATTTCTACTTACCGTAAGTCTCTACTATTCTGCTCAACATATGTTCCATTTAATCAAGTATTAAGAGCCACATAAAAAGCAAGGCAAACAACACATTGTTACGAGACAATAAAATTGGACCCAGAGATATCAACATGCTGAAACTATCAAAGAAGGACTTAAAACGGCTACGATTGATAGATTAAAATGTAGTGGGGAAATAAAGACAATAGAAAGACGGGGACTGCAGCAGAAACTATGAGAAAGAAGAAAGCGGAAATCTAAGCAATACAAAAAATACTATCACATCTAAGGAATCCTGTCAATGGTCTCATCAGCAGACAGGATTCAGCATAGGAAACAATCAGTGAATTTGAAGATGGGTCAATAGAAATTATAAAGACAGAAACACATTCAGGAAAAAGAGTGAAAAAATAAAATGGAGCATCTGAAATCTGTGGGACAATATCCAACTGTTTAGCACACGTGCAGTTGGAGTTCCAGAGGGAGAAGAGAAAGAGAATGGGACAGAAGACAAAATTGAAGTTACAGCGATCAAGAACTTTCCAAGATTTAGTGAAATACAACAAACCACAGATACAGGAACTCAGTAAACCACACACAGGGATTGCTTTAGCACCTTTTTGAAAATTTAAAAAAAAAAAGTGTGTAAGAATAAAGGTATTTCTGAGCTCCATATTCTGTTATACTGATTTCACTGTATCTACATCAATGTCACACAGTCATGTTTAATTTCACTTTAAGTTCTGAAACACGTAAAACTTTCAACCTTCAGAGCTGGTTTAGGTATAGCTCTCTTGAACATTTTCTGTACATTTTAAAGTCATCAGGACAATTTCAACAAAAAACCCTGCTGAGATTTTGATGAGAAGTGTGTGGAATGCACAGAACAACTTACAAAGAACCAATATCTTAATCACAGATGTGGTAGAGCTTGTATCTGTGGATAGTCCACAGAGAGCTTCTTCTGAAGCCCCTGTTGTAAGGTGAGCTTTACAGCTGTCTCACTTGACAATTATATTTTAAAAGGGGGCTACTAAAACAAAGGTCTCATAGGCAGGAGTCCTCCCCCACCAATGCCGCAGAGGTATCCCATCACTGTACTTATTACCTTGCATATGTTGACAAATAAAGTTTGACCTCTTTTGAAAACTATCAATAGGGCATTTTCCTTCATGAATTGTTCTCAGCACAAATGGTTAAAGAGTGAATCTGCTATACCTTACATGTCATGCAATAACCCTTTTTTTAATTAAAAAATTCATATGCCTCCTAAAAAATGCTACAGAGAGAAAAGGCAACTCACTATTTAAATAGAACTATCTGCAAATAAGATAATTAATAAATGAACATCTTGGGGCCAGGAACAGTGGCTCATGCCTGTAATCCAGCACTTTGAGAGACCGAGGCAGGCAGATCACTTGAGGTCAGGAGTTCAAGACCAGCATGGCCAACATGGTAAAACCCCATCTCTACCAAAAACAAAAAAATTAGCTGGGCATGGTGGTGCACACCTGTAATCCCAGCTACTTGGGAGGCTGAGGAAGGAGCATTGCTTGAACCCAGGAGGCAGAGGTTACAGTGAGCCAAGATCGTGCCACTACACTCTAGCCTGGGCAACAGAGCAAGACTCCATCTCAAAAAAAGAGAACATTTACACTTACATAGGACCTATCATGTAAATATTCAAAAGTACTGTCTTAACAATTATATTTTGCACAACCAAAATAAACAGATGAAATAAAAGGTTAGTTTTCTCCAGAATTGGCAATATATTGGTAAAGACAGACACCAAAACCAAAACAAAACAGAACAATAAAACTGGCTTCTTGCCCCAAAGTTGGAGCATTCTCTGTCAATATAATTAGGGGACATTATTAGAATTATCCTCTGAACAGATTTGAAAGACTTCCCCTAAGAGCCCATCTTGAATTATCTAGATCAGGAAGATCAAATGTACTCAAAACCAACATGTCATCCCATTCATCTTTAAATTAAACATAAAATTAGATTTCAAATGTATACTTTCCTACAGGCAGCAAGGAGAACGTCCTGGTATGAAATGAGCACAGCCTGGAGGTCTAGGAGAAGGGCATGGAGGTGTAGGCGGGGACTGAGGCAGCAACACAAGGGTGCAAGGGGCGTCAAGTGCCCCCAGGAATGTGGAAAGCGGCCTAAGACTGTCACCCAGAAGGGATGTTTACCTTTTGAAGATAGCGGCAGAGACTTGAGAGGCTCAAGGTGAGCAGAGGATAAGGGTCACGCCCAACAAGTGGAGTTATTTTCTCTCCAAGACTGGGTGAGTTAGAAGAGAGCAAGGCTCTTCAGTGATGGGGAGGAGGAGGTGCACGTGGGGTTACTGGACAAGTGGAGGTCCAACTCCGTCTCTGATTTGCTTTGTGGCCTGCAAAGTTGATTTCATTTTTCTGTCCGCAGTCACTCATCTGTTAAAAAAGGGGTGGGGGTTTACAAAATAATTACCAATAGCCAATTCAGAAATGGCTAAACATTGAGTAAGTGAACACTGCCTTCAATTTATTGAATGACTACTATTTGCTACTAAGCGGGGATTTTAATACATTAACTTGATTATACCAAACTAATTCTAATAGACATTTTAATCTCCTATTAAATAACCTGACCAGAGCCACACGCGTAGCCTGGATAACTGGAGTGTAAAGTCCATCTTTTTATACCCTGCCATACTTCCCCTTCTGAACTAATCTGGCCCTCTGTGATTCTTTGTTGTGCTTCTTAAAAAAATCAGGTGCACCTAGTAGTGTTCACATGCTATGTATATCCTTTGTCATCAAAGAAAACATTCGTCCACCAACTGGTTACATGCTTAGCAGTAACGACTTTTGTCTTCAGACGTCTATACTCCTGCCTGCCCACCTCCCCTCATACCATAATAGGGATTTTTGCCTATTTTGTAAATTTCTGTGTACTAATACCTGGCCAGTCATAGGGTGTGAATAATACGTGTTAAATGGTTAATGATGCCATAGGATTTATTCTATTTGAAATTTAGTGTTCATATGTACCCGGTTTTTAAACCATTTTTTTTCTGAAAATGACAATGGCCATTATACTGTATCTGCATTACACCTAATCAGGTTCCCTCTTGTAAAAATAAACTACATCATCTTCATAGTACTGGGCAGGGCCTGTTAAGCGACAAGGACAAATTTAAATTCCATAGGAATGTGGATTTATTTTAAAAATCAAGACAAGATGGGACGCCCGCATCATGACGGCCCACAGACCTTGCACAGGCAGCCACGCTGGCCTCCGTGCCCAGACAGCGCCTTCCCCTGCATCTCAGGCTCCCCCTGTTCCTGGGTGCCTGGCCCTCTGCGGGGACTTGCTCCTCACGCCTGCTTCCTTTGGAACTAGTGGGGTCAAGGTCACAGGCATGCTGCTAATGGCTGAGAGAACCCTGCCCCCAACACAACCGCTGCCCAAACCCTCTCAGCTGCCGGTCACTGGGCGTTTGAGTAAATCTGTGGATGGTCCAAATCAAAGCCATTTGCATTCCTGGAAACAGCCTCCAGGTACAGGTGCCCAAGGAGGGCTGGTCCTGGCTCTCAGGTGATGGGGTAGACACTGGCCGAGGGACACCGTGTCAATTCAGTCCGCATAACCACCACAGCCCACATGCCACAGGTACACCAAGACAGCCACCTTCCTCCACTGTAGACCCACAGAGGTCCCACCTGGCCTTACAGCCGCATGCTTCTGCCGGAGGCTCCAACATTTAACATACAAAACCCTCTCATTTTTTTTTTTTTTAACATAGTCCATTCCTTCAAAGTGTTTAAAAATAATGTTCATTAAACTCTATTTTGAAACAAACTATAATATAGCTACAATTCAGTTTTCTATTTTGGATTTTAAAATGCTCTGGTTCATGTTCTTGGCATTTTTCTTAAAAATGAACATTATGGTATATTTTGGGAGATAATTTATATGGAAAAAAACCACACACACACACACACACACACACACACACACTCTGAATGTCAGCTTCCACCTAATTTAAACTGTTTACACATTCATGGGAAAACCTAGCTGTTAACCTTGGTGAGGGCTGAGATCGCCCTCTACGAGATAAACACGTTCCTCCGGATTCCGAGGGGAGCCTGCCTGCTCCCCTCCCCCACCGTGGTGGCCCCGAGGACACGGGGGGCACAGAGGGGACCCCAGGAATGGAGAGGACGGAGAGGGGCTCGGGGTGGAGCGGGACAGGGGGTACTCCGGGGATGGCGGGGACAGAGCGGGGGACAGCAAGGTTCGTGAGCAGACGGTGACCAGGGGTGTAGGGGCACACGGCGGCGCGGAAGGGACGGAGGGACGGGGCGGCCCCTGGGGTGGAAGGGGACGGGAGGACGGGGCGGCTCCGGGCAAAGAAGGGGACGGGGCGACTGGGGGACCTGGGGCCGGACGGCCGGGAGGAGCGGGACGGGGCGGCCGCCCGCGGGCTGCGCTGCGGGAACCGGGACTCGCGCGGCGACAGGGCCTGGCTCGGTGACCGGGACGGGCGCGGGGTGGCGGGACCCGGCCGCCCGGCAATCCCGGCCGCGACTCCCTCAGCCCCGGCCGCGGACGGAGTGCGGCGCTCGACCGCGCACTTCACAGCGCGAACTCCTCCGGCGCGCGGCCGCCCGCGCCTTATAAACCCTGCTAAAAATAGCCTGCGAGGCCACC